AGAATATTCTGGAAGAAAAGAATTGGCCTGGAGCTGGACTTGAACCCACAACTCTCACTTACTATGTGGATGTGTTGCCAGTTATGCTACCCAGAATATCGTCTGACTCTTTGCTTCCAGTCATATTTAAGTTTAGATATAACCATCCACAGTTACTTATGGCACCAACTGGGAACAACTCCTACATCCATGGCATATAATAACCCACTATGGCAATTATTAATAGTAGCAGTAAAGTAGTCCAATTCATTATGGTGATCATTTGGCATATTATTAAAAAACATTGGACTTTAAGATGTTTATAGATTAAGTATTTATATACTTTATTTTATAAAAGTTTCTGTTTTTTTTTTTTTTTTTTTTTGAGTTGTATATTTAGTTAAAATAAGTAGTTTCGAGCAGTTTGAAAGTCATATTACAGTCAAACCTGTATATAGCAAAAAACTGTCATTAAGAGAAAATTTCTTGGGTCCCTTGAATTTTTTTGCAAAAATTACTGTAAATTATACCTGTATATTGTGGAAATTGAAAGGAAAATCAGGCTGTACAACAGAAAAATTAGTATCTTTATCTGATTTAACACAAATTTAACAAGAAGTTTATAAGCCTGGCATATATAAATCATAAAAAAGTAAAAAAAATACACATACACAATGCAAAATATGACTGCTGTATTACAACAATTTTATTGGGATTTGAACGGAAAGTTTTTTAACAGCTGTTTTTACCTAACATAAATACTTGTATGTAATGTAATTATAAGTTGTGAAATTTAAAACATTATTCCTAATGTGAGATTATATTCTTTGTTTTGAAGTTTTATAAACCTTTTTATATCACATTTCATTTGAATAAAATCAAGTTGAAATATCTGCAGATAAAATGCACATCGGGCATATTATACATGTTTTTTAAGTTTCATAAAGAATATCACACTATACAAACAGTAAAAAATACTCGTACTGTGTATTTGGAAAATGCTTCTAAATTTCGAATGTGTCAAATGTGGTTTTGAAAGTTTCATTTAAGAAATTTTGAACTAACGGATACAAAATATATGGACCCCCGAAAGCTGTTGAAGGGAAATTGTAGGAAGAAATTGTTAAAGATTCACAAATAACCTGTGAATTTGCAATAAATCTTAGTGTGTGACAGACACTTATTTTCATCCACTTGAAATTGATTGTGTTCCATACACAGTTTTTTTTTTTTTTCACTTACAAAAAAATGAACTGAATTGAGTATAATTTTTATATGACAAAGCTGTAAAGTTTCATTTTATTTTTCAACTGGTTACTCATCTTTATCTTAGAGAACTTTTTACAGATGAATGAAAAAATTAAAGTTAAAATGAAACTATTTGTTATTAACCAAAAATTTGTTCTAGAGGGTGGTAATTGTTCAGTTGAGTACCAAGGTTCCGCTGTATTTGATTAACATTATTTTGATATATGCGGTACACATCAAGAAATTTATTAATTGCATTTTAATGAAGGGATAACTATAGTAGGTAACCTGTATATAGTGGAAACCTGTCTACTACAGAAGAGATGTTCAGTCCCTTGGAATTCCATTATAGACAGGTTTAACTGTATTTTTATATTAATAAATTTACATGAATTTTTATTTGTTGTTTTATTTAATAATGATCCTATATTTTTTGATAATATGTTGAATGGCTGAGAATTAAACTACAGGTATACCTCGCCTTACGTCTGTAATTGGTTCTAGGAAAACGACTTAAGTCGAAAAACGACGTAAGTCGAATTTACTTGTCTCCGAATCTACTTGTCACTAGGCTAAACCATAAATTACTATTCCCAGTTCTGTATTTTATTTATTAATGCATTTTTAATAATATATGGTTAATAAGAATCTATTTTAAGCTTACAAACAAATAAATTTTAGTTTTTAATAGAGTACAGAAAAAAGTAATCTAAATTTACGAATGCATGTACTGTACTGTAAATACAGTACATACTTGTAAATGT